GTATCTATTATGTCCCATTTGGAAAGAAAAAAATGTTTAATTTTGATTTTTTAATTTATATAGGTATTTATTGGCTAAATTATGCTAAATATAGTAATAAATATGGTACCTGATATTTTCAAAGTGTAATATAATCAAAACTAGACGGTAAAAGTATTTCATATTTTACAAGATCAACCAATATACTTTTTTAAAAATTTAGGGAAACTTTGAAAACAGGCACTCATTTGAGTAAATTTTAAGAATTTTTTAAATTAGGCTCCCTAAGTAGAAAAATGGTCAGACATGTGGTAAAAATGGGTGGGGTAGGGTAACATTTTTATACAGATTTCATAGATTTTAAGTAGAAACCATAATTTTGCTTATTTGGATTGTTAGCTGAATGGTACTTTTTGTTTCTTACCAAAAATTAATGGGAAAACATTTTTCATTAGAATGTTATTGCAGATTATTTAAAGGTTCCTACTTTCTAAAAAAAGGGCCCTCATTAACATCCTAGCTTGAGTTCAGAAAAGTGGCCATAACTTGATTTCCGTATGGTAAACTTTGTTTAAATTTTGCATACAGGTGTACTTTAAGGTATACATCTGACTTATGATGTCAATTTTTTAGTTCCTGATAGTGCCCATTAGGGTCCTAATACCTTAAGTGATGTTGATCATCATTCCTGAAAAGTTGGTTGATTCTAACTCAAGCACTCAAAGAACAAATAACACAACATAATGAAACGGTTTTTAATAAGTCAAGGGCAATAACTCTACAAATACTAGATAAATCCACAAGTAAAACCCAAGGTGCACAACTACACATGCTGATCAACATTCGGATGATTCCTGTAAAGTTTCATGACTCTAGGTCAAATACTTTTTGAGTTACATACGACACAAGTTGAAAATTGCAAATTTTTACTATGTCAAGGGCAATAACTCTGAAAATACTAAATAAATCCAGACGAAAATACCCAGGTGCATAACTACACATGCTGATCAACATTCCTGTAAAGTTTCATGAGTTACTTGCGACACAAAAGAGAACATCCGGACGGAAGGACGGACAAGGGTAAATCTAAATGCCCCCCCCCCCCCCCACAAAGTGGGGGCACAAAAATATAGTAAGTTTGATGACTGATGTTGGTTTCATGATAAAAGCTAAGAAAACTTCTTGTTCCAACAAGAAAAATTGCCTTGATAGGTTTGATATCAATTCTGAAACAAAAGGGCACAGAGGGCCCTGAATTGCTCACCTAAGGAATAGGTCAGAAGGATTAAGTGGAGCCCATTTCACCCCAGAAGAAATAGCGAAATATTAAAACAACGCGAAAAATACAGGATGTACTCTACATATAAGGAAAATCAATGACCTTCTGGAGTGGGGCCAATTTTGACCCTAGGGGTTTAATTTCAATTAAGCTCTAACTCTTTGGGTTTTTTAAAATAAAAATTTTCAAGTTTTTACTTTAGACATATACGGAAAATCAGACCCTCAGGTGGGGCCAATTTAACACTGGGGCTTTTTTTTTTAACAAATTTGGTAGACACTCACTAGAACATGTTTCATGCTTAATATCTAAGCTCTTGCTCTTTGGGTTTTTTAAAAGAAGATTTTTTAAGTTTTTACTATGGACATATTAGGAAAATCAGTACCCCGGGGGCAGCAACAATTTTGATCTCAGGACTTTTATTTGATCAAACTTGATAGACACTTACTAGAAGATGGTTCATGCCAAATATTTAAGCTCTATCTCTTTTGGATTTTTAACGGAAGATTTTTTAAATTTTTACGAAACACATATAAGGAAAAGCAATGATCCCCAGGGGCAGGGCCAATTTTGAACCCAGCGCTTTTATTTGAACAAACTTGGTAGACACTCATCAGACAATGTTTCATGCCATATATCTAAGCTCTAGCTCTTTCGTTTTTTTTATAGTAGATTTTTTAAGTTTTTACTATATACATTTAAGGAAGAGCAATGACCCCCTGGAACGGTGCCAATTTTGACCCCAGGGCTTTTATTTGAACAAACTTGATAAACAATTAGTAGAAGATGTTTCATGCCAAATATCTAAGCTCTAACTTTTTGGGTTTTTTAAAAGAAGATATTTTAAGTTTTTCTTTCGGTTGCCATGGCAACCCGAGTTCTGCATGGAATTAAATTCTTTGAACAATTTTTAAAGGTGACCACCAAAGGACCATTCCTGTTAAGTTTGGATGAAATTGGCTTTGCGGTTTATGAGGAGATGTTGTTTAAAGTAGAAGTTTACAGCCAGACGGACGGCCGGATGTGGGATGAAAAATGATCACAAAAGCTCACCATGTCCCTTTGTGACAGGTGAGCTAAGAAAAATATCGCCGCATCATGCGATAAAAGAATAATATATATATAATTATGCATATAGGGAAAATCAATGACCCCCTGGGGCGGGGCCAATTTTGACCCCAGGGCTTTTATTTGAACAAACTTGGTAGACACCCATTAGAAGATGTTTCATGCTAAATATCTAAAGCTGCGGTCTCACTTACTCCCGGCAGAGCCCAGGACCATCCCGGTAAGTTACCGGGATGATCCGGGACGATCCGGGGTGAAATTATTGTTGCGGTCACACTTACCCCGGCAGCACTACGGTAATTCCCAACTAACCACCCAGGATGCGCTCCGGATCATCCAGGCAGAGCCCAGGTGAAGCTACGGTTCATGCCGGTGCTTCCCCGGTCGTTCCCGGATGACGCCGGAAGAGCCCCGGTTGACCCAGGCAGAGCCCCGGTCGATCCAGGCAGAGCCCCGGCAGAGCCCAGGACGATCCAGGCAGAGCCCCGGTAGAACCCCGGTGGATTGAAAACGCCCGAAAAAGATAACATTGATACATAATTTTTATTTAATATAATATCTATTGATCTAGAATAGTAATTCATAATGATTTTCTGAAAAATCCTTATGCCATACTGGATAGAAAGGAAATGGGAAGGGTTTTAATACAAACGAGTGCAATCATCGCAAATTGTCGTTATTCTTCTGAAATGATCCGGGCTTTGCCGGGGCTCTACCGGGATCAACCGTAGCTCTACCTTTATCCTCCGGGGCTCTGCCTGTAGTTACCGGGGCACTGCCGGCATATACTGGGGCTCTACCGTAGCTCTACCGGCTATTTCGTACCCCGGATCATCCCCGGTTTGTGCCGGCAGAGCTACGGTGCTTCCCCGGTATAACCCCGGTCGTTCCCGGCAGAGCTAAGGATGAAGCCGGCAAAGCTATACCTTCCCGGATCATCCCGGACCACCCCGGTGATATTAAATATTTTATTCCATCCGGGGTCGAATGCCGGATGTTCCCGGATCATCCCGGATCATCCAGGACGTTGCCGGCAGAGTTACAGATGTACTCCGGTTGTTCCCGGTCGTATCCCGGTCGTTCCCGGATCACCCCGGACGTCTACCGGGGCTTTGCCGGGGCTCTGCCGGGATGTAAGTGAGACTGTAGCTTTAGCTCTAGCTCTTTGGGTTCTTTAAAAGAAGATTTTTTAAGTTTTTCTATATACATATAGGGAAAATCAATGACCCCCAGGGCGGGGCCAATTTTAATTCTAGGAACAAAATTTGAACAACTTTGGTTTTGGACCTATAGATGATACCATAGACCAAATATCAAAGCTCTAGGCCATTTACTTACAGACCAGAAGATTTTTCAAGTTTTCACAATATGTATATAATAAAAACCAATGACCCTCCGAGGGCGGGGCAAATTTTGACCCGAGGGCCATTATTTGAACAATCTTGGTAGACTGGTCTACCACACAATGTTTCATGCCAAATATCTTACCTGTAGCCTTTGCCAATTCAGAGAAGAAGATTTTTTTATGTTTTACTATATAGATATTAGAAAAACCTATGACCCCCCGGGGTGGGGCCAATTTTGACACTAGGGACAAAATTTGTACAACTTTGGTATTGGACCTTCAGATGATACCATAGACCAAATATCAAAGCTCAAGGCCATTTACTTTCAGACCAGAAGATTTTTCAAGTTTTCACTATATGTACAGTACGCTCAGCGCGGCTTTTGCAAAACCTGCGTGTCCCCGCAGATGTGACTCATCGAGGACGAAAATTTGCTCAAATATTGTCCGCGTAATCCCGCGGACAGGAAATTTTCACCACCGCGGACATGAATCTACAGCCGGAAGCGTTTCCCCCGCGAACACTGTGGGTTAATTGCGGGGAACGCAGGGTCAACTCGGTGGACCGCGGGGTATTTCATCGTTGAAAACGGATTGAATTTTAAAGTATTTTAATGGAACTTGTAAACTTTATGAAAAACATGTAAAAGTACAGTTAAGAATTTATATTAGAGTCTACTAAAATAATTTATTTGCCTTTATTTTCCATTTCAGAATGTTTTTAGACGTCAATTTCAGAAGTTGAAACAGCTAGCGTCCGGGGCCGTAACGCTAGTCAAAAGTTATTGCAACCTGTATTTTTTCCCTGACCCCGATTATTTAAGTTAACGTTATAATGTATTTATTTCCGTGTGAATATTCATAAGTTTTGAAATGACAAGCTGTTCGGGCCCGTTTTGCTACCAAAAAAAGTTATTTCACCAGGTATTTTCCGTATTTTTCCAGTAAATCTGATCTTCAATCAGTTACAGGTGTAAACATATTTTTTTATACAAATGAGTATACCTTACGGAATTCACTTATAAGTCACTTATAGGCTATTTTATATGTAGATTATACTTCACTTAGTCAATTCACCTATAAGTCAAGTATATGTATTTTAAATGCAAATTAGATGTAAGTGCAGTATATGTCTGGCATTTTGACATATAAGTGAAGTATAAGTTATATATAAGTCACATATATGTGACATGTAAGTCAAAGATATGCTCAACTTATAAGTAACATATAAGTGACTTATATGTTACATATAAGTGACTTACATGTTACATATAAGTGATTTAATATAAGTCACTTAATAGTAACATATAAGTCACATGTAAGTCGCATATATGTTGCTTGATGTCAAAAAAGCTTGAAATAAAATAAAAGTTTAGTAATTTAATTTCAAAAATGTTTATTAATTTATATTCATAGTCATATAAATGAGCAAAATACAAAATTCAACATACATATCCTTCAGTTCAATCATCTTACATTCACTATAACAAAAACAATATTCATTTGTAACAGCAAGTTTTTGTTTTTTACTGGTTTTCTTGGAATCAAACACTTTATTTATACAATTATTTTGCTGGAAGTCTGTCGGTGAGGAACTGTTCAAATCATAAATTTGATCAAATGTTTCTGATTATTCAAACTACTATTTCTTCTATTGATGTCTGTTTCAGTGCTCTGATTCTGTTTCCTCGGAGAACTTCATGTGGCTGTGTTCACCTTTAAAGATAAAATTCATAATTAATTAAAAAAGATGTGGAATAAATTCCGACCATTGTAAATGCAGTTATATTTCATATTTTGTATATCATCAAACTATATTAGCTATTTATGCTTATGCATATACAAATATACTAAGTTACACAGTATCTCATTTTAGTGCACAAGTCAACAGTGTTGTTTAAGAATTGCTAAAAGTCTCTATAAGAATTGATTAACAGCACTATTTGCAACAACATTTATTATGCTCTTTTCTGTGAAAGATTAAGAGCAGTAAGTATAGAGATTAAAAAAATATACCTTTTCAGGCTCAATACTGCATATCATTATTCACCTGGCATCTCAAAGTAAGAACTGGTCCCACTAGCCTGCAATGTATGTAAAATGTAATATCAGAAATCTCCATTGAAAACAACAATAAAATGTTAAATGATTATGATAACCCTGTCTTATTCAGCTGCATAAAACTACTGATTGTACTATTTAGTTCTAATAATTCAATTAATTTGACTATTAAATCTAGATTTAAATCAATTACAAGTATTAGTAAATCTAAAATAAAAACAGCCTTGATCTCTCAAGTTACAAATTTTAGTTTGCTGCCATCTTACTTTGATTGTTTAATATATAACCCATAAATGTAACTCAAAGGTATTTACCTGATTTTGTTGTATATCTTCTTGTCCAAGGTGATTCTTCTTGTCATTCTTATTTACCATAACTATACTTAAACATCTTAAACAAAACAATATCTCTAAATTTCCTAAAACATCAAGTAGATTCTCTGTGATTTCCACCAGCTTGCTAACCTAAATGTTTCAGACTTACAACTGTGTACCTGGGCAGGTCCAATGTTATGTGCAACAGGGTAAATCCAAAAATCAAAGCACTCATCAGTTCTATCTTACAATCATTGAATGTGAAAAAAAATCAAATAAATTATAGATATGTAAAGTTTAAAAATCATTATACATTTTTGAAAAAGAAAATGCAATGTCATTTTTTACAAATTCATGATAGGAAATGTTATCTTTCCCCAAAATAATCACATGGAACAGTCTGATTTGTAGGAATAACCAGTCAAACAAGAGCTGTCGGTAGGACAGCAACGCTCGACTATACTTAGTGCTTGATAGTAAAAAAAATGCTTGATACAGTTACCTCCTCCTGTTTACAGGTTGGGGTCATGATGGTGAACAAGTGTGCAAAGTTTCAAAGCCATAATGTCAATGGACTCTGAAAATATTTGAACTATTACAAAAACTTTAACGTAAATTCTAAGTCGAAAAAGGGGCATAATTCTGTCAAAATGCTTGATAGAGTTACCTCCTCCTGTCTACAGGTTAGGGTCATGATGGTGAACAAGTGTGCAAAGTTTCAAAGCCATATGTCAATGGACTTTGAAAATATTTTAACTATTACAAAAACTTTAACGTAAATTCTAAGTCGAAAAAGGGGCATAATTCTGTCAAAATGCTTGATAGAGTTACCTCCTCCTGTCTACAGGTTGGGGTCATGATGGTGAACAAGTGTGCAAAGTTTCAAAGCCATATGTCAATGGACTTTGAAAATATTTGAACTATTACAAAAACTTTAACATAAGTGGTTACGCCGACGCCGACGCGGACACCGACGCTCGGGTGACTGCAATAGCTCTACTTATTCTTATCGAATAGTCGAGCTAAAAATTAGTCATGCACATATGGTGGCAAAGGCAGGTGGCCAGTTTTATCAGACCTCTGATCTATGTGGTGTATCAGTGGATGTAGAAAATATAAGCAATCTTCAGGCATATTGGTTCCTTGATTTTATATAGATTAAAAGGGCAATATAAACTGTTTATTTCAAGCACTGTTTTTTTTAATGTTTAAATATCTAAAATACACTAGGCCTAAATGTCTTAAAAATAACACTTGTATATTAAAAAAAAAAATATACCTCTTTTTCTTGTTAGAATATCTTACTTCAGCGAAATTAGGTCTGTAAGAAGTACAGTAGGTAAAAACATATAGATTTCAATGTCTGTTTCAAGTTAGAAAAAAACAAGAGTAGAATTATGCCTTGGGTGACTTTAATGTGAAATATTTTCCTTGTGAGAAGAAATGACATGGAATTTCATTTCTGTCCATGGTAGCCTAGAAATCACTGATTGAATGCCATTTCTGTCCCAATTCCGCACAGAATATGTACCAAAATTTTTTACAGGTAATATACTTAATTGATAATCATTTTTTCTATTATCTTATTTAAAAACCCCCAGCTATGTTCAAAAATTAATAAGCAACATTTAAAAAAAAATCTTAATTGTTTGTGATTAAGGTCTAAGATTATAGTATTTTAAATTCTGAGTATTTTGATACCCATTGTGTTAAAGCAAAGAATTACAAATCAACTTCAATAAATTTTACCCATTTTCTCATGTTTTTGTACTTAGTAATTTTTTCAGCTTTGCTCAGTAATAAAAAGTCTTGCAAAAGTTCTAAGTTTTCACTTATATCTAACATAGAAACTGGTTACTTCAAACTTCACCAGTATAAGGCACTTATAGGTGACTTGTATGTGACTTATATGTTGGGGAAAAAATGGCCAAAAGTGACTTATATGTAGCATATAGTTCTCTTATAGGTCAAGTATAAGTTGCATATAAGAAACATATAAGTCACTTAAAGTCATTTTGGTAAGGGTAATATTTACCGACAAGAACCGTCAAGGACCAACAAGAACCCATGTGTTGTTAATAAACATGTACTCGTACATATTAAATACATGCAAGGCTTACTTATTTTCTTTTAATCTGAGTGTTTGTTTTTTGTTTCGTTTTTTTTTATATACAGTGTAGAAAATTAAAAATATGGTGACCGACAAGAAAAAAAATCTGATGCAACGCGTGTACTGTAACGTTCATACCGACAAGAAACCTTTGGTAACTTTACATAATCAGTTGTAAAATTTGTGTTGAAAATATCTTATGAACATGTTTCCACTTTTTCATTGAAGACATTGCATGAATATCTATGACTACCGACAGGAAAAAAACAAGAAACATGGCAATGCCATGAAACCAGGTTTTCAATTATCACCATTGTAGATAAATATGTTGTATTTGAAATACAAATACAAGCAACAAACAATGTAACTATGTGCAATGTAAAACATGAATAATGTAGGAGGAATTGCCACTGAAGAAGTGTTCACTATATATTCTGTATAAGGAAAAAAAAAGGGCCATAATTAGGTCAACAATTATCCAATCACAAAACCCCGACAATATGTGCCAGGGCGCTTGGTGACAAAGCTTCTGTGAAAGTTTGAACAAAATCCGTTGAGAAATGTAGGACGAGTTCAGCACAGAAGAATTTGTTCACTATATATTGATAATTCTGTATAAGAAAAAAAAAACAAAGGGCCATAAATAGGTCAAATATTATCCAATCACAAAATCCAGACAATATGCGCCAGGGCACTTGATAACAAAGCTTTTGTGAAAGTTTGGTCAAAATCCGTTGAGAAATGTAGGAGAAGTTGCGCACGATAGAAATTGTTCACTATATATTCTGTATAAGGAAAAAAAAAGGGCCATAATTAGGTCAAATATTATCCAATCACAAAACCCTGACAATATGCGCCAGGGCACATGATGACATAGCTTCTGTGAAAGTTTGAACAAAATCCCTTGAGAATTGTAGAGGGAGTTCAGCACAGAAGAAATTGTTCACTATATATTCTATATAAGGAAAAAAAACAAAGGGCAATAATTAGGTCAAATATTATCCAATCACAAAACCCCGACAATATGCCCCAGGGCACTTGGTGACAAAGGTTCTGTGAAAGTTTGGTCAAAATCCGTGGAGAAATGTAGGAGGAGTTGCGCACAGAAGATATTGTTCACTATATATTCTATATAAGGAAAAAAAAACAAAGGGCCGTAATTAGGTCAAATATTATCCAATCGCAAAACCCAGACAATATGCTCAAGGGCAATTGATGACAAAGCTTCTGTGAAAGTTTGGTCAAAATCCGTTGAGAAATGTAGAAGGAGTTGCGCACAGAAGAAATTGTTCACTATATATTCTATATAAGGAAAAAAAACAAAGGGCCATAATTAGGTCAAATATTATCCAATCGCAAAAACCCCGACAATATGCGCCAGGGCACTTGATGACAAAGCTTCTGTGAAAGTTTGGTCAAAATCCGTTGAGAAATGTAGAAGGAGTTGCGCACAGAAGAAATTGTTTACGCCCGCCCGCCGCCCGTCCGCCGGCCGCCCATTCCGCCCCGCCGACATACCTCAATCTAATAACCAGTTTTTTCCTTCGGAAAACCTGGTTAATAATCAGACATTCTGCGTAGCGAAGACTTACCGGCAAGACATTTTATTATAAACATGTATTTATTTCATTTCTAGATATATTTAATCTTTACAATGGAATATGTAGGACTACCGACAAGAAAACGGATATATTAAAATTTCTTTTGTCTCAATTTTTATTGTGATAATAAGCACCTCTGTCACGCACGTGGCTACAAGTTTTAACAAAAACAAATCTAATGTAGATCCCTGGAAAATAGGCCTAATAATATATCCTATAACGAAACATATAGCCTTTCAACCAGTAAATTAATGTTCAACACTTTTGATGATAGATATCTATATTCGAAAAATTATATTTATTGTTTTCAGACTGGAAGAGATCGGGTATGCAGATCCCTGAATGAATTTGCAGAACAAGATAAAAGTAGGATAGCGTGACGGATTTCTTAAATGATGAAATTTTGGGGTCAACATAGAAACTACATATACCCGAAATTAAAAACAATGAAAATAAATAAAACTAGAACTGCCACTATCATGGCGTGAATACCCCCGCATACCACTTTGTCAGAATCAACAGTGGCCATTTAGAGCTCAAGGACAACCTCCCTGCCAAATCTGAGGTTACTAAGCCAGTGCATTGCTAAGTTATGTATTCTACATGCTTCAAATGTGAAAATGTCAATACATTGCGGACAGGACATTCTTTAGCAATTGAGAATAAAACATTTTTTTTGTCAAGGTCCCTGTGACCTTGACCTTTGACCCAGTGACTTCAAAATCAATAGGGGTCACCTAATAGTCATGATCAACATCCATACCAAATATGAAGACTGTGGGTCAAAGGAATCTTAAGTTAATGGGTGGACAAACTTTTTGAAGTCAAAGTCCCTATGACCTTGACCTTTGATCCAGTGACCTCAAAATCAAAAGGGTCATCTACTAATCATGATCAACATCCATGCCAAATATGAAGACTATGGGTCAAAGGAATCTTAAGTTATTGGGCGGACAAGCTTTTTGAAGTCAAAGCCCCTGTGACCTTGACCTTTGACCTGGTGACCTCAAAATCAATAGGGGTCATCTACTAATCATGACTAACCTCCATGCCAAATATGAAGACTGCAGGTCAAAGGAATCTTAAGTTATTGGGCGGACAAGCTTTTTGAAGTCAAGGCCCCTGTGACCTTGACCTTTGACCTAGTGACCTCAAAATCAATAGGGGTCATCTACTAATCATGACTAACCTCCATGCCAAATATGAAGACTAAGGGTCAAAGGAATCTTAAGTTATTGGGCGGACAAGAAAAAACCGACGGACAGCCGGACAAGCTGATTCCAGTATACCCCCCTTACAACTTTGTTGTGCGGGGGTATAATAACAATTTTATTCTTTGTTCTGTTTTATTTTTTGATAACATCTTTTGCGCTGATATTACATATACCAGCAATGTTGAATAAACTGCACAACGTAAACATGGTGTTGTAACGTTGATTTTTTTTCTCAGAAAATGCTGAAAACAGAAGCATAATACTAGTATTATTTATAATAATCAAATTGTGTTCCATTACAAAATTAATTTTAAAAGTTTAATGAAGATTTTATTTAATTATTTGTTAACATCTTTAGTGCTGATACTGATGAATAAATTGCACAACGGAAACCTTGTACGTAACTTGAGGTCTTGGCTGTCACTGACATTATATTTTCCTGAACATGTTGGAAACAGAAAGAATAATAATTGATGATTAATAATCATAATCAAATTGCTTGATTCCAATATCAATATATACATGATGTTCAAAAACCGTGTATCACACCCATGCTTTCATTTCATAGAAAATTGCCAAATTGAGGGATGAGGTAGTTTTTATTATTAGACATCTTTAACCATTGATTGCAATAAAATAGGAGGTAGGTGTCAAATTTCTAATCTATAGTATAAAAATCTGGAAACACAGTTATCCTACGATCTTTTATTTAAGAATGAAGGATGATGTAATTTTTGTTGTAATATATATTTTCTGTCTATTGAAATAAACAAGGGAAATACCTAAGCTGGGTAGGGGTCAAGTTTTTTATTTATCTAAACAATATCAACTATTTTCTATTTCATAATATTTTTACAGAAAAAAATAATGAGAACAGAAATCAGCAAGGCAAAGGCAACGTTCATAGGGCATGTTTTCCGTCAGCTGTAATAAGCACAGAATGCATATATTAAGTTACATGCATGTAGAAAAAAAATCAACCAACTATCTGTTTAGTCTGTTATTTCATCAAACATTGTAAAATTGAAGGGAACACTGTTTTATTTCTTTTGTAGAAAGTTGTGTTTTCCGTTGACTAATACATTTGGAGTTTGGCGAGTAAAATTTCTAAACTCTATTCTAAAATTTCATCGTCGATTGTAAAAATTTGGGGTGCTGTTATTTTTGTTGCAAGACATGAAATAAACATGGGGATGTAGTAAGAAATGTACTGCTAAAATTAGAACTGTATCATAACCAAAGAAATATCTTTTATATCAAAGAAAAGGCATCGTCAGTAACCCAGGCCGTATATCGGTATCGGTATTAAAAAGCAGTATTTATGGATAGTGGGTTCTGGCGATGACAAAATAAACAATTAAAATTATTTTTAAATTGCAAGGACTGCATATAAATTACTTATTCTTAATGTTAAAATAAAAGCAAATCCACAGTCATAGACTTACAATGTATGTAAGTTTTTTTGTTTGTTTATTTTTTTCTTTTCTTAGATTTACTTATTCTGACCCCCGCGTTCCCCCGCAAAACACGGATGACTGATTTTAACGATAATATGACTGCAATCGTCGGATTTTGGTCCGCGATGGAAACAACTAGACACCGTGGATCGCGGGGGAAAGGATTATTTTTATCGCGGACCTCCACCACGTTTGTCCGCGGTAGAAAAAAATCATCCGCGGTGGTAATGCGGTTAAGGCAAAAGCTGCGGTGAGCGTACTGTATGTAATGAAAATCAATGACCCTAGGGCCATTATTTGAACAATCTTGATAGAGGTCTACAACACAATGTTTCATGCCAAATATCTAATCTATAGCCTTTGCCAAATCAGAGAAGAAGATTTTTTTAGATTTTACTATATACATATAAGGAAAAACCTATGACCCCCCGGGGCGGGGCCAATTTTGACACTAGGGACAAAATTTGAACAACTTTGGTAGAGGACCCATAGATGATACCGTATACCAAAAATCAAAGCTCTGGCCCATGTACTTTCAGACAAGAAGATTTTTTAATTTTGTATTTTTTGAAATCCTTTTCTGGCCCTATGACCTACATATGCAACAGACCGGAACCATTTGAACAACTTTGAAAGGGGACCACCCAAGGATCATTTCTGTAATGTTTGGTTGATGTGCAGTCATTGGTTTCAGAGGAGATGTTGTTTATGTTAAAAGTTGACGAGGCACGACGACGGACGACAGACACAGGGCCATCACAATAGCTCACCCTGAGCATTGCTCAGGTGAGCTAAAAAACAGTAGTTCCTCGAGTGTTAACAAGGTTTTCTCCATATTTGGAAACCTATGGCTCCAAGGTGGGGCCAATTTTTGAAAATGTTTGTTAGAGGACCTACAGATGATATCATTTACCAAATATCAAAGCTCTAAGCCTTGTATCTTCAGAAAAGAAGGTTTTACTAAAATGTACATGTACATTATGAGAGCCATATTGCTCACCTGAATATCAATACTTTCCATGACAAGTTAAAAATTAGTAACCTATTGTTCCTGTTGCCACCTCAGTACTAAACTAAGTGCATAGACAGAAAGGAGGGCTGGCAGACCTCTTAAAGGTCCTCTCTAATTAAACTGGTAGGAAACTAATAACTTTATTACTTACCTGATAGTGGTGTTTAGATATCCTAAATCATCATCACAATCTTCATGAACTTCACTATCTCTGTCCTAAAAGACATTTCATTGTTGATAAATATTTTCACTTTTTAATTTTTTCAATTTCTGAAATTAGCCATCATCTAATGTTCTTACTACATATTTGAATACATCAAGATGAAAATTACAGATAGTAAGTAAATAAAATAGAGCCTGGCCAGACTGCACAGAAGTGTAACTGGCCTGGCTCTATACTGATCACTGTTAGTGACGGGTATGGGTTAACACAACAGCTTAAGGTACTTGATTACCAATAAAGTCAAACTTATCAATATATGCAGGAATAGTTGTTTCTCTGTTAGTTTTTAGGTACAAATATGATAATAGTAATTAAAATAACAAGAGAGCCATGATGGCCCTAATATCTTTCACCTAATTATAAAATCCTCTTCATGACCAGGAGCAACTAATATTATAAATTGTAATTATAAATAAAAAGCAGATATAAAATCTAAATTATAAACTGACCACAAAGTTCATATTTGTATCTGAAACAGTGCACATGCAAAAACATTACTGGTTGCTTATTATGAAGCGAAAACAAAAGTTACTAAAGATTAGTTACTGGTTGCTGTACAAAATCAGTTGATTCCTAGGAAGTCAGTACAGTGAAACTCAGTTATAAGGAACTTGTTCGGACCATGACATTTAGTTTGCTATATCCAAGGTTTATTATAAAGAATATAAAGGAAATAGTTGCTTATAAACAAATTATAAAATTGCAAACATAAATATATATAACAAATAGCTGGCATGTTTGGCAATTTGATAGATACAATTGTTATTTATTCTTATCATAAATTTATACTCGTATCATATGTTTATATACTTACATATTCACAATTATGTATAAAGGTTTTTAAAATATTAATTATAATAATCTGATACTTGTTTCTAAACGCCATTCATGTTATCTATTTTGCAGTCATATGCTACTTATACTTTTACAATTTTACGATGCATTCATGATAGAGAGTATGCTGTATCAGAGTTCGCTACAATTGAGTTCCACAGTAGTTGCTATGAAATTCAATGGTAGATTCACCTGTTGCTATGGAAAGTTAATGTTTGCTATGGAAGTCAGTGGTTGCTTTGCTAAAAGTCAATGTTTGCTATGGAAGTCAATGTTTGCTTTGGAAGTCACTGGTTGCTATGGAAATTTACAATTTGATATGGAAAGTCAATGGCTACTAAGAAGTCACTGGTTGCTTTATAAGACAATGTTGTTATAGAAAGCTTAAAATATGCTATTGGGGTCACCAGTTGCTTTGAAAATATAATGGTTGCTATGGTAAATCAATGTTTGCTATGAAAGTCACTGGTTACAATAGAAAGTCAATGGCTGTTATGTGAGTGCATAGCTGCTATGGGTAGTAGTCATTGGTTGCTATGGAAAGTCAATGGTTGTAATGCCAGTCACCGGCTGCTATTGGAAGTCACTGATTGCTATGAAAGTGAATGGTTGCTTTTGAAAGTTACAGATTGCTATGAAAGTTGATGGTTGCTATGAAAAGTCACTGGTTGCTATGGAAGTCAATGGTTGCTATGGAAAGTAATTGACTGCTTAGAGAAGTCACTCGTTGCTATAGTAAGTTATTGGTTGCTTAAGCCTACAGGCAGTCAATGGTTGTCATGGAAGTCACTAGTTTATACACATATTAAGAAAATCCATGACCCCCAGCCTTTCCATGGGTGGAGCCCTCCACATGATTTAATGCCTAATGGCAATAACTTTTACAAACATCGTACAGGTCAAAAATACAATGCTGCATGCCAAATATATAAGCTCCAGCTTTTTGTTACTTTACTACAGATGTAAGGAAAATCCAAGACCAACTGAGGTGCGGCTGATTTAGACCCCAGTGCTTTAATTTGAACAAACTCGTAAAGGTCCATTAGACAATGCTATATGCCAAATATCTAAGCTCTGTGCATTGTAGTTTCTCATAACGAGACTTTCAAAGATTTTATTTTTTAGCTTCTGTGGCCTCCTAATGCATAAACTGGAACTATTTATGCAACATTTATAAAGGACTACCTATTTAGGGTCATTCCTGTGAAGTTTGGTCAAGACCATCAAGTGGTTTACAAGGAGATGGTGTTTGAAGAAATTGTGGACAATGATGGACTATGAACGACAGACACATGGGTACAACTAAAGCTTACCTCTGAGAATTTTATTCTCAGGTAAGCCAAAAATGAAGCTATTAGCATGCAGGGCAATACAAGGGACGGTCAGAAAATATCCGGACTTTTCATGCTCCTTAAGTCTTTCCACATGCTGCTATATACACACATTATATATTGGTGAAAACTACATTCATTCGCAAATAACGTGGTCAGTTTATTTTCAATGATAGTTGTGTGTACACAGTATTTTGCCCTCTGATATATGATAGGTGTTTCGTCTATCATGGACTCTTTGTTAGAGGAACAACGCTCTGTAATAAAGTTTCTGGTTGCAGAAGGTGAAAAGCCCTGCCACATCTTTCAGAGGCTTAAAAAAAGATTTTCTGATAAATGTGTATTACGTTCAACCTTCTACAACTGGGTTTCTCAGTTTTGTGAAGGCAGAACAAGTGTTTGTGACAGGCCTAGGACTGGGCGGCCAGCTGAGGCGGTGACCCCAACAATGGTAGCAAATGTTAAAGCTTTTGTCAACAAAAATCGTCGAGTAACTTTGAGGAGGTAGCCAACAAGTTTAGCATCGGTAAGGCATCGGCACACAAGATTTTACACGAACACCTAGGCATGAGCAAGGTATGTGCCAGGTGGGTGCCTAGACAGCTGTCCGCAGATCAAAAGGCAACCAGAGTAACCAATGCAAAAGAACATTTAAGTTGTTTTAATCATGAAGGAGATAAGTTTTTGAATCGCTGGAGATGAGATGTGGGTTCATTATTCCGAACCTGAGACAAAAGCTCAGTCAAAGCAGTGGAAACGAGCTGGTTGCCCATCTCCTAAAAAGTTTAAGCTGTTTTCTTTCGGCTGGCAAAGTCATGCTTGTTGCCTTTTGGGATTCACGAGGAATGATATTTACTCATTTCATGCCAAAAGGTCAAACTGTCACCGCAAAATACTATTCTGAAGTAATTCTGAAAAATCTCAGAGAAAAGCTGAAGTAAATGCGTCCCAGGTTAGCACAGAAAAATGTCCTCCTTCTTCACGATAACTACACAGCTACAGTGGCGGTTATCAACTCCTACAAATGGCAATTGTTGTCTCACCCTCCTTATAGCCCAGACCTCGCCCCCTGTGACTTTTATTTGTTTACAGAACTGAAAAAGTTGCTCGCTGGAAAGAAATATAAGACCAGGGCGGCTTTGATATCTGCTGTTACACAGTACCTAAAACATAGGTCTACGTCATGGTTCACAGTGGGAATACAAAAGCTCCCACGAAGATGGCAAAAGTGCGTAGACGTAGGTGGAGAATATTTTGAAAAAGAGTAGAAAGATTTTTTTTAAAATGTTGAATGGTTTTCGAGAACGAGTCAAAAGTTAGAATATTTTCTGACTTCCCCTCGTATATGTACAAAGCCAGACATAATCCTAAAAGATTACTTGACCTTAAATATCACTGTAAAGAAAGCAATCCAAAAATGATTTGTTTATTATATCCTAAATACCTTGCCATTTTGTCCAGTCCTTTTCTTTAACCCATCAGGTAATTGTTCCTAGAAAAAAAAAAAACAAGATTGCATTTGAGAACAAGATTGCATTTGAAAAAAATGCTATGCCACCGCATTAATACAACACTAAATAGTAGTGTAGGAACAGATTTTTTTTGTTTCTATACAATTGAAGATTGTCATAATGCATAGATCCCTGACCTATCTAATTCTTATTATCAGATTAGTGATTAAATCTATTGTTAATCAAATAAAAGATCAGAGCAGGAATATATCAATGCACTTGAGTCTAGTGAATTTGGTGGTGAAGGTCATATTTCACGCAGCCTAAATTTCATGACTACATCAAAGGACAACACAGTAAGACACTTTGTCAAAATCTAGGTAAGCTGATATCAAAGTCCACTTTACATCTTAATCTGTGCACATGGTTCAAATTTCATAGCTGTAGATCAAAGCACAAGAAAGTAGGTCAAATTATCAAAATCTAGGTCACCTGATATCAAAGTTCAATTTTACAACTAAAACTGTGCACATGGTCAAAATTTCATTGCTGTACATCAAAGGACAAGAAAGTAGGTCACTGTCCCCTTGGTCAAGGCAAAATTTTGACCCAAGGGTTTAATTCAAAACAATCTTGATACAGGTCCACCAAACATCATTTCAAGTCAAATATCTAAGCTGAAGCTTTCTCCCATTCAGAAACCATTTGTTTTATTTTCTGTTTTTACTATGTGTACATAATGAGAATCATGCCCCCGAATAACTTTGGTAGAGGACCTATAGATGATATTATATAGCAAACATGAAAGCTCTATGCCTTGTACCTTCAGACAAAAATATTTTTTTTTTTTTACTAGATATACATAATGTAAATCAATGACCCCCGGGGCAGAACCAATTTTGACCCCAGGGCTAAAATTTGAACAATCTTGGTAGAGGTTCACTTCGCAAAGTCTCATGCCATATATTTAAACTTAAGCCTTTGTCAATTCAGAGAAGAAGATTTTTCAAGTTTTTATTTTATACATATAAGGAAATCTAGCGCCTCTGGGGCAGGGCAATTTCAACACTAGGTGCATAATTAAAACAACTTTAGTAGAGGACCCAAAGATGATATTATATACCAAATATCAAAGCTTTAAGCCTTGTACCTTCAGATAAGAAGATTTTTTAATTTTTTACTCTATGTTCATAGTGAAAATCAATGACCCCTAGGGGTGGGGCCAATTTTGACCCCAGGGCTATAATTTGAACAATCTTGCTAAGGCTTCACTAAACAATGTTTCATGCAAAATATCTTACCTCTAGCATTTGTCAATTACTAGAAGATTTTTTTTAATGTTTTTACTGTAAGTTTTTACTATATACATTATAAGGATAATCAATGACCCCCGGGGCAGGGTCGATTTTGACCCCAGGCTATAATTTGAACAATCTGGGTAGAGGTCTACAAGACAATGCCTTATGCAAAATATTTAAGCTCTAGACCTTTTGGGTCCTTATAAGAAGGTATTTTAAGTTTTAACTATATGTACATATAGTGAAAATCAATGACCCCTGGGGCGGGGCCGATTTTGACCCAGGGCTATAATTTGAACAATCTTGGTAAGGGTCTACCAGACAATGCCTTATGCAAAATATCTAAGCTCTAGCCCTTTTGGGTCTTTACAAGAAGGTATTTTAAGTTTTTACTATATGTACATACAGTGAAAATCAATGACCCCCGGGGCGGGGCCCATTTATACCCTAGGGCTATAATTTGAACAATATTGGTAGAGGTCTACCAGACAATGCCTTATGCAAAATATCTAAGCTCTAGGCCTTTTGGGTCTTTACAAGAAGGTATTTTTAGTTTTTACTATATGTACATATAGTGAAAATCAATGACCCCTGGGGCGGGGCCGATTTTGACCCAAGGGCTATAATTTGAACAATCTTGGTAGAGGTCTACCAGACAATGCCGTATGCAAAATATCTAAGCTCTAGGCCTTTTGGGTCTTTACAAGAAGTTTTTTTAAATTTATTCTTATAATTCCTTTCGGTTGCCATGGCAACCAGATTTCTGCATGGAATGAAATTCTTTGAACAACTTTGGAAGCCCTTCACCCAAGGATCAATCCTGCCAAGTTTGGTTTAAATTGGACTAGTGGTTTTTCACAAGAAGATTTTTTAAGTTCACTATATAATCTATATAACACACACACACACAAACAAACACACACACAGGTGAATCGCTATATGCCACCGCATCGCAGATGCTGCGGTGGCATAAAAATGCTATGCCACCGCATTAATACAACACTAAATAGTAGTGTAGGAACAGATTTTATTTGTTTCTATACTATTGAAGATTGTCATAATGCATAGATCCCTAACCTATCTAATTCTTATTATCAGATTAGTGGTTAAATCTATTGTTAATCAAATAAAAGTTCAGAGTAGGAATATATCAATGCACTTGAGTCTAGTGAATTTGGCGGTGAAGGTCATATTTTACACAGCCTAAATTTCATGACTACATCAAAGGACAACACAGTAAGACACTTTGTCAAAATCTAGATCAGCTGATATCAAAGTTCACTTTACATCTTAATCTGTGCACATGGTTCAAATTTCATAGATGTACATCAAAGGACAAGAAAGTAGGTCACATTATCAAAATCTATGTCACCTGATATCAAAGTTCAATTTTACAACTAAAACTGTGCACATGGTCAAAATTTCATTGCTGTACATCAAAGAACAAGAAAGTAGTCGTCACTGTCCTGACTTGGGCAACAAAACAATCTTGATACAGGTCCACCAGACAACATTTCAAGTCATATATCTAAGCTGTAGCCTTCTCCCATTCAGAAAACATTTTGTTTTATTTTCTGTTTACTAAAAAAATTGTGTACATAATGAGAGACAGATAAGGAAAACCTATGGCCCCAGGGCCGGCCTGATTTTGACACTTAAGAGGCAAAATTTGAACAACTTTGGTAGAGTACCTATAGATGATATCATATAACAAATATTAAAGCTTTAAGCCTTGTACCTTCAGACAATAAGATTTTTTTATTTTTTACTATATGTATATTATATTGAAAATCAATGATCCCCGGGGCAGGGGCAATTTTGACCCCAGGGCTATAATTCGAACAATCTTGCTAGAGGTTCACTACACAATGTTTCATGCAAAATATCTAACCTCTAGCATTTGTCAATTGCTAGAAGAATTTTTAAAAAAAGTTTTTACCTTAAGTTTTTACTATATACATATAAGGAAAACCAATGACCCCCGGGGCAATAATATTGTCAATAATTTCTTAATTTCACACCTTTAATGTCATAACTGGAGGATTAAACAACAAAATATTGAACAGAAAACTTTTAATACGTTTGTAGAGGTGTTGCTGCTATAATTATCTCTTTCGTTCCATAATTTTAAACAAACATAAACATGATACGATTAGGTTTTTGAAGTTGTTATCGGCGATGAAAACTGTGAAAATAATTAAAGGTTAATTGGTTGATGTGCCTTGTAGTAAAATGGTGATTTAATTGAGTAAGTCATGTCATTCTTATAACAAGAATGTAAAAATATGTTTGTGGTGAAAGACATTCATAATACATTTTGTACCTCTAAAGAAGTTTAAAAATTTTATAATGTTAAAAAGTAAAAGAAAATAAATGAAAATAAAAAAAATAATAGTGTATGCTTAATATCTTCTCATTTGAAATAGGTTAGCCCAGAAATAAACATGTGTACAGTACATGGTATCCCTTAATATATTGCCTGGTTTTCTGTTTGGCCAAACTCATTAATGAGACCAACCCGCTATTAAGACCAGATTTGTAAAGTCCCTTCATTGGTCTCATTAGCGAGTTTTTACTGTACACATATAGTTAAAAACAATGACACCCCTGGGGCAGTTGTGACTCAAGGACTTTTATTTGAACAAACTTTGTAGACACTTATTAGAAGATGTTTCATGCTTAATATCTAACTCTAGCTATTTGGGATTTTTTCAAAGAGGTTATTTAAGTTTTTGCTATACACATATAAGGAAAATCAATGACCCCCGGGGCAGGGCCAATTTTGACCCCAGGGCTTTTATTTGAACAAACTTAGTAGACACCCATTAGAACGTATTTCATGCTAAATATCTTAGCTCAAGCTCTTTGATTTCTTTAAAAGAAGATTTTTTAAGTTTTTACTATATGCATACAGGGAAAATCAATGACCCCCCTGGGGCGGGGCCAATTTTGACCCCAGGGCTTTTATTTGAACAAACTTGGTAGACACTCATTAGAAAATGTTTCATGCCAAATATCTAAGCTCTAGCTCTTTGGGTTCTTTAAAAGAAGATTATTTAAGTTTTTACTATATGCATATAGGGAAAATCAATGACCCCCTGGGGCAGGGCCAATTTTGACCCAAGGGCTTTTATTTGAACAAACTTGGTAGACACTCATTAGAAGATGTTTCATGCCAAATATCTAAGCTCTAGCTCTTTGGGTTCTTTAAAAGAAGATATTTAAAGTTTTTTCTTTCGGTTGCCATGGCAACCAGAGTTCTGCATGGAATTAAATTCTTTGAACACTTTTTAAAGGTGACCACCAAAGGAACATTCCTGTGAAGTTTTGGATGAAATTGGCTAAGTGGTTTATGAGGAGATGTCATTTGAAGCAAAAGTTTACGGACGGACGCCGGCCGGACGAAAAGCGATCACAAAACTTTGTGACAGGTGAGCTAAAAAATGTGTTCATCATATCATTATTATGCATTTCATCATTCGCTATTCTTAATTATTTATAAAAAAACAAACAACAACAAAAAAACAAGATGCATTGTGAAAAATGTTATGCCACCGCATTAATACAACACTAAATAGTAGTGAAGGAACAGATTTTTTTGTTTCTATACAATTGAAGATTGCCATAACGCATAGATGCCTGACCTATCTAATTCTTATTATCAGAAAAATGGTTAAATCAATTGTTATTCAAACAAGAATTTGTAACAGAGTTACCAACGTCCCCCGCCTCGGGAAGTTTTATATGAAGCATAAATTTGTGCTACTTCAAAAGATTGAGGTATGGATCTTAGGACATTCAGTCCAAAATTATGATCAATACTAGATCTCCAAATGCAACACTAAATTTGTTAAAAAAAAAAATAAAAATAAAACACGGAATTTAAAAATCTATCATGTTCAGCTTTGACCTTGACCTTGGAGGTAGGGGAGCAGGTGTTGTGCATGACATAATGTCTTATCATTGAGACTATTTGTGCCAAGTATTTTCAAAATCCCTTGAACTATGAATAAGTTATAGATTGGACACAAAATATACCCTATAACAGACTATGTAAATCTTCGACCTCTAAGTGTGACCTTGACCTTGGAGGTAGGGACACAGATGTTACGCATGGCATATCATCTAATCATTGTGACTATTTGTGCCAAGTATTTTCAAAATCCCTTAATATATTAAGAAGTAATGGACGATACACAAAATATACCAAATAACAGTCTCTATTAACCTTTGACCTCTAAGTGTGAGCTTGACCTTGGAGGTAGGGGTGCAGGTGTTGTACTTGACATATTGTCTGATTATTGTGACTATTTGTGCCAAGTTATTTCAAAATCCCTTGAACTATGAAGGAGTTTTAGATCCAACACAAAATATACCCTATAACAGACTATGCTAAATTTTGACCTCTAAGTGTGACCTAGACCTTGGAGGTAGGGATGCAGGTGTTGCACATGACACATCCTCTTATTATAGAAACTATTTGTGCGAAGTATTTTCAAAATTCTTTGATCTATGAAAAAGTTATGGACCGGACACAAAATATATCCTGTAACAGACTATATAAGTATTTGACCTCCAAGTGTGACCTTGACCTTGGAGGTACGTGACCGGTTTTTGCTCATGACACATCGTCTGATTATTGTGAACAATTATGGCAAGTATTTACAAAATTCCTTCATAGATAAGAAAGTTGTGGACCGGACACGACATATACCCTCAAATAGACAATGTTGACCTTAAATAAGCAAGTGCGGCCTTGACACTGGAGGTAGGGGTCTGGCTATTGCGCATGACACATCTACTTAACTCTAAAAATACTAAATTAATCCACACAAAAATACACGTGTGCACAACTACACATGCTGAGCAACATTCCTGTAAAGTTTCATGAATCTAAGTCAAATACTTTTTGAGCTACATGCAACACAAAATGAGAACATATAGACAGACGAAAGGACGGATGGACAAGGGTAAATCTAAATGCCCCTCTAAAGTGGGAGCACAAAAATGCAGGTTGCAATTTTAGCTTGAAATGAAATATCTAACAGACACATCTAGTTTCTTTGGTGTTTGTAGGAATATGGTTAGATACCTTGCCAGGTTAGTATTAGAGCAGCCTTTACATAAACCTAACATTAAATACTTTATCACTTAATGTTTTCTTTCAACATGGTGAACTTTAATAGAAGGTTCCATTTGTTTACTTTATAATAATGGTGCACAAAGTAAATTGAATGATCCACCATATTTGTATTCAGTTTTCTTTCATATAGTAAAACAATCGAATAATCTATCTCTCTTGACAATAAAACAACAGCACCGCTAGGCGGAGCATTATATGCCTGAAAGTGTTTTTTTTTTGTTAGTAAGGTTAAAACATTTGTAAGACATGGGAATAAGGTACAGTATTACCTCCTTCAAAAAGTAATTATCCTTTATATATGAAGAACCTTCATATATATATATATATACAGTTGCTGTTTTCAAAGCACCACCATCAAGTTGTAGTTATGCTCCAGAAACCACAACTTTCAGTTTAAAGATCAGTGTGACCTTGACCTTTGACCTTATGACCCTAAAATCAATAAAGGTCATGTATTGGACATGGCTGTTCATCCTATAAAATTTTAAAGCTGTAGATTGATAAATGCTTAAGTTATTGAGCGGAATCTGTTTTCAGTATTAAGGTAACAGTGACCTTGACCTTTGACCTTGTGACCACAAAATCAAAAGGGGTCTTCCACACAATATGAACAATCATCCTATGAAGTTTGAATACCGTGGGCCAAATGGAACTTAAGTTATGCTCCAGAAACCATGTTAAGTTTTAACGTAAAAGTGACCTTGACCTTTGACCTTGTGACCCCAAAATCGATAGGGGTCTTCTACCCAATATGGACAATCATCCTATAAAGTTTGAATTCTGTGGGCTAAATGGAACTTTAGGTATGCTCGGGAAACCATTTTCAGTTGTAGGGTAATAGTGACCTTTGACCTTGTGACCCCAAAATCAATAGGGGTCTTCTACCCAATATGGACAATTATCCTATTAAGTTTGAATACTGTGGGCCAAATAGAACTTAAGTTATGCTCCAGAAACCATTTTCAGTTTTAAGGTAATAGTGACCTTGAACTTTAACCTTGTGACCCTAAAAAGTTAGGGGTCTTCTACCCAATATGGACAATCAATCTATAAGGTTTGAATACTGTGGGCCAAATGGAACTTGAGTTATGCTCCGGAAACCATCTTCAGTTTTAAGGTAACAGTGACCTTGACCTTTGACCTTGTGACCTCAAAATCAATAGGGGTCTTCTACACAATATGAACAATCATCCTATGAAGTTTGAATACTGTGGGCCAACTGTGGGAACTTAAGTTATGCTCCGGAAACCATTTTCAGTTGTAGGGTAATAGTGACCTTGACCTTTGATTTTGTGACCCAGAAAATCAATAGGGGTCTTCTACCCAAATATGGACAATTATCCTATGAAGTTTGAATACTGTGGGCCAAATAGAACTTAAGTTATGCTCCAGAAACCATTTTCAGTTTTAAGGTAATAGTGACCTTGAACTTTAACCTTGTGACCCTAAAAAGTTAGGGGTCTTCTACCCAATATGGACATTCAATCTATAAGGTTTGAATACTGTGGGCCAAATGGAACTTAAGTTATGCTCCGGAAACCATCTTCAGTTTTAAGGTAACAGTGACCTTGACCTTTGACCTTGTGACCTCAAAATCAATAGGGGTCTTCTACACAATATGAACAATCATCCTATGAAGTTTGAATACTGTGGGCCAACTGTGGGAACTTAAGTTATGCTCCAGAAACCATTTTCAGTTGTAGGGTAATAGTGACCTTGACCTTTGATTTTGTGACCCAGAAAATCAATAGGGGTCTTCTACCCAAATATGGACAATTATCCTATGAAGTTTGAATACTGTGGGCCAAATGGAACTTAAGTTATGGTCCAGAAACCATTTTCAGTTTTAAGATAATAGTAACCTTGACCTTTGACCTTGTGACCCATAAAAAATAGGGGTCTTCTATCCAATATGGACAATCATTCTATAAGGTTTGAATACTGTGGGCCAAATGGAACTTAAGTTAAGCTTGAGAAACCATTTTCAGTTTTAAGGTAATAGTGACCTTGACCTTTGACTTTGTGACCCCAAAATCAATAGGGGCCTTCTACCCAATATGGACAATCATCCTATGAAGTTTGAATACTGTGGGTCAAATGGAACTTTAGAAATGCTCCGGAAACCATTTTCAATTTTAGGGTAATTTAGTGACCTTGACCTTTGACCTTGTAACCCCACAATCAATAGGGGTCTTCTACCGAATATGGACAATCATCCTATAAAGTTTGAATACTGTGGGCCAAATGGAACTTAAGTTATGCTCCAGAAACCATTTTCAGTTTTAAGGTAATAGTGACCTTGACCTTTGACCTTGTGTCCCCAAAATCAATAAGGGTGTTCTACCCAATATGGACAATCATCCTATGAAGTTTGAATACTGTGGGCCAAATGGAACTTAAGTAATGCTCTGGAAATCAAACTGCTAACGGATGGACGGACGGACACCAGAGGGTATTACATAATATGCCTGAAATTTTTTCGGGCATATAAAAATGAGCACAATGACACTTTTAGAAAGCCCCACTATTCTTCAAATACTACAGCTAAAAATCTGAAAATTTTCTCTTCCTAAAACATGAAATATGAACATTACCTCTGTGCATACATCAACAGCACAATTCCTCATGGCACATCTACTGTCATCTGCCCAAAAAGGACAGTTCTTTTTTAAATTCACCTGAAATAAAAAACATCTGTAATGACCATTTAAACAAGAGGGCCATGACTGCCCTAATAACACGCACCTGATTATTGAGGCTCTGAATTAATATCGTTAGCAATGAATAAAAGGCAGATATAATGCTACAAACTTAAACTGATATAACATTCATATCTTCATCTGAAATAGTGCAAATTTTAATAAGGTCTTCCATATTATGCCTTTTTATGTGCTGTGACCTATTTTTTTACCCCAGATGACCAATATTCATATAACAACTCATACAAAAAACTGTTGATCAAAAAAAAATGGAAGTCACAAGTTAAACAAGAGGGCCATGATGGCCCTGAGGTCGCTCACCTGTATATAGGCCCCTGGAGCGGGGCCAGTTTAAACCCCAGGGCTTTTATTTGAGCAAACTTGGAAGACACCTATTAGAAGATGTTTCATGATGTTAAGTTTTTACTACACACATATAATGAAAAACAATGACCTCCGCCCCACCCCACCCCCCTTTGGCAGGGCCAATTTAAACCCAAGTGCTTTTATTTGGACAAACTTGGTAGACACCAACAAAAAGATGTTTCCTGCTTAAAATCTAACCTCTAGCTCATTGGGTTTTTTAAAAGAAGATTTTTTAAGTTTTTACTATACACATATAGTTAAAAACAATGACACCTCTGGGGCGGGGCCAGTTTTAACCCCAGGGCTTTTATTTGAACAAACTTTGTAGACAATTACTAGAAGATGTTTCATTCTTAATATCTAAACTCTAGCTATTTGGGTTTTTTCAAAGAAGATTTTAAAGTTTTTGCCATACACATATAAGGAAAATCAATGACCCCCGGGGCGGGGCCAATTTTGACCCCAGGGCTTTTATTTGAACAAACTTTGTAGACACCCATTAGAACATGTTTCATGCTAAATATCTTAGCTCTAGCTCTTTGGGTTCTTTAAAAGAAGATTTTTTAAGTTTTTACTATATGCATATAGGGAAAATCAATGACCCCCTGGGGCGGGGCCAATTTTGACCCTAGGACTTTTATTTGAACAAACTTGGTAGACACCCATTAAAAGATGTTTCATGCTAAATATCTTAGCTCTAGCTCTATGGGTTCTTTAAGAGAAGATTTTTCAAGTTTTTACTATATGCATATAGGGAAAATCAATGACCCCCTGGGGCGGGGCCAATTTTGACCCCAGGGCTTTTATTTGAACAAACTTGGTAGACACTCACTAGAAGATGTTTCATGCCAAATATCTAAACTCTAGCTATTTGGGTTTTTTCAAAGAAGTTTTTTTAAGTTTTTGCTATACACATAAATAAAATCAATGACCCCCGGGGCGAGGCCAATTTTGACCCCAGGGCTTTTATTTGAACAAACTTGGTAGACACTCACTAGAAGATGTTTCATGCTTAATATCTAAACTCTAGCTATTTGGGTTTTTTCAAAGAAGATTTTTTAAGTTTTTGCTATACACATATAAGGAAAATCAATGACCCCCGGGGCGGGGCCAATTTTGACCCCAGAGCTTTTATTTGAACAAACATTGTAGACACCCATTAGAACATGTTTCATGCTAAATATCTTAGCTCTAGCTCGTTGGGTTCTTTAAAAGAAGATTTTTTAAGTTGTTACTATATGCATATAGGGAAAATCAATGACCCCCTGGGGCGGGGCAAATTTTGACCCCAGGGCTTCTATTTGAACAAACTTTGTAGACACTCACTAGAAGATGTTTCATGCTTAATATCTAAACTCTAGCTATATGGGTTTTTTCAAAGAAAATTTTTTAAGTTTTTGCTATACACATATAAGGAAAATCAATGACCCCCGGGGCGGGGCCAATTTTGACCCCAGGGCTTTTATTTGAACAAACTTTGTAGACATCCATTAGAACATGTTTCATGCTAAATATCTTAGCTCTAGCTCTTTGGGTTCTTTAAAAGAAGATTTTTTAAGTTTTTACTATATGCATATAGGGAAAATCAATGACCCCCTGGGGCGGGGCCAATTTTGACCCTAGGACTTTTATTTGAACAAACTTGGTAGACACCCATTAGAAGATGTTTCATGCTAAATATCTTAGCTCTAGCTCTATGGGTTCTTTAAGAGAAGATTTTTTAAGTTTTTACTATATGCATATAGGGAAAATCAATGACCCCCTGGGGCGGGGCCAATTTTGACCCCAGGGCTTTTATTTGAACAAACTTGGTAGACACTCACTAGAAGATGTTTCATGCCAAATATCTAAGCTCTAGCTCTTTGGGTTTTTTAAAAGAAGATATTTAAAGTTTTTTCTTTTGGTTGCCATGGCAACCAGAGTTCTGCATGGAATTAAATTCTTTGAACAATTTTTAAAGGTGACCACAAAGGAACATTCCTGTGAAGTTTGGATGAAATTGGCTTAGTGGTTTATGAGGAGATGTCATTTAAAGTAAAAGTTTACGGACGGACGACGAACGGACGGACGGACGCCGGACGAAAAGCGATCACAAAAGCTCACCCTGTCACTTTGTGACAGGTGAGCTAAAAACTCATCCATATAGCAAAGACAGATTTTTTAATCATGAGATGAATTCAAATAAGAACAAGAAATGTCGAATGACACATATGCCCCCCCCGCCACCCCCTCTCTAGCCCTTGACTCACATCTCGGTAATTTTGTTACCGAAACTCGCCATAAATGGGTACATGAAAGTGTTAAGTTCTTGAAAAGTAAAAAAAAAAAACAGTAGAACTTCTATGAGTCGAACTTCGATAAGTCGATTTTCTCAATGTGTCTAAGTAAAATGAAAGTCCCGAATTTTTCCCTTATATATTCCTTATAAAAACCTATTTATGTGTCGAGATTTTATAAGTCAAATTTTTCGATGTGTCAAAGTTTTTTCGTGGTTCGTATAGAATAAATGTAGTATAATTTACCATAAATAAGTCGAAGTCTTTCGATTATTTTGACACCTTCTTTTCACACCTTTTCTGGCCGCGAAGACGATTTCCGATCAACTTTATTGACAGGTGTTAATTACACAGGCGAGTGTTCAAACAGCCTTTGTTTGTGTTTAAATGTGTGAAAAAATGCTTTAATCGTTACTATTTTAATTGCCGTAGCAGTATTTGAAAGTACATGTAAACAGTAAGAACTATCATTTGAGTACTTCCTTTGACCCGGTGTCGAGTGATAATCACACGCGAAATATTTACTATAAGCTGGTTAATTATTGCCCTTTCGTATTTTTACGCCATTTGAAACTTCATTCTATACGTCAACAGATAGTCCAAATCAATTTAGCCGTGAAAAGTTACTTAACATGTCATATTTATCATTGTATAATGTAAAATATTAGATTAAAGAAAAACATGAAATAGGTTACGTTATAGATCTTATAATTAGGGCTAGTCACGGGTTGAAATTTTGTAATGAAATTCAGACCGATTCATGAGTCGAAGTCCCAATGTGTTGAAGTTTTTACGCAAGTCCCTCCAACTTCGACTTACAGAAGTTCTACTGTAGTTACTAGTCATAACCAATCAATATGTAAAATATAAAAAGCTTGACCTTTGAACTAGAGAGCCCATTATGACCAATAAATATGTGAAATTTGAAGACTTTGTAATAAAAAGTTTTCAAGGTCATAAGCATAAACCATATTTACATTTAAAGCCACCTTGACCTTTGAACTAATCACCCCAAAATCAATATGGGTCATCTACTACAAATTGCTACTCAATATGTGTTTTATGAAGACTTTTTGATAAAAAGTTTTCATGATAATGTGCGGCAACTATTCTGACATTCAAGGCCTTTGACCTTGACCTTGACCTTTGATATAGTGATCAACATATAAATAGGGGACATCTACCAGTTATTACCAATCAATATGAGAAATATGAAGACTTTATGATAAATAGTAACCAAGATAATAAGCGGAAACCAATCTGACATTTAAGAATCCGGTGAACTTGACCTTTGAGCCAGTGACACCAAAATCAATATCACTACTAGTTATGACCAATCACTATGTGAAATATAACGAATTTGTGTTAATAGCTTTCAAGATAATGAGCAAAAACCATACTCAGGGTTCCTACAAAAAAGAGAAATCAAAATTCCCTGACTTTTCCATGACTTTTCCCTAACCAAAATCATTTTTCCCTGACCAATAACAGCATCAAGTTTTTACAATCTTAAACATTTAACATACTTTTTATATGCTGGCCTCCTCTTCCCTATATTAGCCAACCTCTTTTCTCCCTTTCTTTATTTTAAATTATTTCAGATACAGAATATATGTATATGAATATAAGCAACAATTGTCATAAGCTACTTGCGTAGTTTACTTTCAAATAGAATGAGTACATTTATCCAAAATGAAAAGTATTTGATAACATGTCATCGATGCTCAAATATGTTTCATTAACGAGCATATAAAGCAGTGAAATCAAAACTTTGAGAAACTAACTACCACAGCTAGTTTGTATAATTTCTGCTATATTGCTAGTATTATTAGCTTTTCTTTATGTAGCCACTTGATTACCTGTCTTATAGTTGTTACTTTAAACAAAAGTAAAATTATTATTGATAACTAACATTTATTCAAGTAAAACGATGCCTTTTTTAGTCAATCCTCCATTGATTGCACTGCTTTGTATGGGGAGGGGCCATTATTATTTAAATATAAAAGATTGAATTTGTGAAAAAATGCTATGTCATTGCATCAATATAACAAGTAGATATTTTTGTTGTATACAATTGAACTTTGCCATAATGCAGTTGTGTCTAGTGAATTTCTAGGTCAAGGTCATATTTCAGCATGAATGAAAATGTGTATATGTGTCTAATGTAAAAATACAAAGGCCATATAAAGTGAAGTAATTGATAGGTATTTACTTTATTACATCGCTGTTTTAAACTTTGAAATACAGTTATATTTTTTTTTCTTAAATGCTATCTTTTCAATTAAGCATTACCTATTTCTTTAATAATTAAAATTTAAATTATCATCATATACATAG